CCCAGGATGCAGTACGTTTTCATTAACCGTCTTCCTTTGCGCCACTATAAAAGGGTGAACAGTCCCGGATGTTCTTTCTCCCTTGTGTTTACATTAGCTTGTGTTCTTGAGGTGAGTCGAGTTTTGTTGTGTTATTTTGATTTTTCTTGCTGTTTTTATTATTCAGAGCACTAATTCAAACAAGTATTAACCTCGAGTTCATATTTTCTGTTTCAGTTTTATCATTATTCCGTTATTTCTCGATCGTCTCTTGACAAAGATTGTGGTCTAAAGAGTTCTCGACAGTGAGTGCATCAAGGGCGCTAGATCACTGAAATTGTTCGAGATGTCGCTTAATCTATCCAACCTATGATAGTCGATAGTAAATTAAGTTTTACTTATTATCTGAAATGCATCCTGAATCTATCGTCTTAGCCGCTAAAAGGCCTTTGATTTTACGAAACTCATTCAAATGATCGGGTTGCTGATTTTTGCGGTCTGGCCAGGAATAGCCTGCGTTACATCCGGTTTTATTTGCCACATAAAACCAGATGTAACGATATTCATCATTAAAATCACTTTGCGCTGGCTTTTATTTGAATCAAATGTAGTTCTTGAACCAAATATGATTGCTGTCTGTGCCAAGAGTAGTTTTTATTGATTTTTATGTTTTATGGTATAAAAAATTTGAATCTGACACTTAATTTTTTGTAATAAATGATTTTGAATTATACTGAAAACTGTCTATTTATAAAAGACGTTGCAATAAGGGTTCACAACAGAATAGCATTCGGGACAAGATTTTCCATGTGAGAGTAATACAAATGCAGCAAAACCACCTATACTAGAGTGAAGTCATGCAACACATCAAACGCCGATCACACGRTGGCAATTAAGCTACCGGGCAGCACTTTCATACCTTTTAGGTAAACTAGTTTTAATATATAATTAGCTCTACACTTTATGTGTATTGAGCACTCTTTAATGGGATCAGCCACTTCCTCATACGATTAATTTTACGTGTAATATATATATAATTCATACATACAGCCTTTTGCAAAAATTATGAGAATTGTTGAAATATCTAAATATCATAATATCAAGTGCATGATGGGTAATCCCGCGCGATTCCCTTGGTCCCTTGTCTTTGTAGTTAAGTTTTTTTTTTGGCGACGGACTTATCCGTAGTTCTGAACATTTTCTCGATGTCAACAATGAATTATTCTAGCAAACCCGCGTGTTCCGGACAATATATGGATATGGATATTATGATATTTAGATATTTAGACAATTCTCATAATTTTTGCAAAAGGCTGTATGAAATCTGTCGGCTAATATTGGAGAGTTTGTAGCATTACCTCTATTTTCTTGCTTAGGCTTTGTTCAAGAATAATCAGTCGAGGGCGTTTTGTGACTGACATGAGAAGACTCTACTGTTATGTGCGAATAAAAGACAGGGAAATGTAGGGAAGAGTGTATTCATTATTAACAAAGGAACAGCTTAACAAAATTATAGTTTACTGTACAATCAAAAATTACCATACAGCTGGAGAAGAAATACCCAAATTAAAATGCAGTTCAACTGGGAAAATTAAAATTTTGTAAAACTCTTTTGTTAGCAGATAATTCAAAAGAAATTGGAACGAAAGAAATCGGATGGAAATCGTCTAAAATTGCAATTAGTTTTCTCGGGTAATTTAGAATAATGTTCAAAACGTGTATATGGATTATACGGACACTACGCAAAAGAGAACAGCTGAATTTAATTATTTAAACAAACTTCACATCCATCAAATCCCGATCAGAGAGCCTTGTAATTTACCAATCACTGATAAAGGAACTTGACAACCGCGTTTTTGGTGACTGAAAAACTGTATATATTTTATACTTTCAAAAATCATACATAATTAATGAGTTATTAGGCCAATAGAATGAGCCTATTTGGTCACATGCATGGACCTTTATATCTGATAAAACACTCCTTATTAGTATTCTTTATATAAAGAATACTAATAAGGGTGACCTTTAAGGTTTGTTTGATACCTGATCATTGACCAATACAGGATGTCAACCGATAGCAGTAAACGGCCAACAGCGGTTCTAATTTACTTTATGTGTATTCAATGTGGGACTATTTTGTAGTAAATATAGTGGAAAGTGTAATAATTACAGTGTCATAGATCGTAATTGTCGCGTAGAGACAATAAAAAAACAACAGAGCCAAAGTGTAATAGCGATAAATACGCTAAAGTGTGTTTTAGACAAAACTCAAAGTTTTGACAGAGAAGCCAACAGATTCGTTAACAGTTCGTTTCCAGTGGAAAATATGGTAAGTAGTTTTGCCAGAGACTCAGAGTTTGATGTTTTTTCGTGACGAAGTTGTCCGCCGTGATTTTCAAAACTGTCAAAACGATTTTCTTCTTTTTTTTTAACTTTTTTAAAAAACTTGTCGAGTCAAACACTTGGAAACGATTTATCAATTGTGACCGTGATTTGGATTTGATTGAGTTTATCGTCACATGAATAATACATTGTGTAAAAACACCTCGTCTCTTAGGAATCGAGGCCAACCGAAGTTATTATGACGAACCATCCCGTGGTGCGTATTGAAATGTCCTCGCCAAACCGAGGGTCTTGCTCCGTGTGGCGGTGGAGTAGGGAACCGCGGCTTGCAGAATTCACCGAAAGAGACCAAAAATCGATCTAAATCACTCTTAATCTCCGTTGAATGTTTTTCTTTGACGTTGAGATTTACACAGGAGTTGGAAAAATGGTTGGTGGTGGCTATGGCGAGGTTTTTCGGTTCAATTTGGACGAAAAATATGCAATTTTTGATGAAAAAGTGATCTGACGATTTGTCGATTTTCTAGCCGTTGTGTTCTGCCTTTCAGTAATATAAGTTTAGAGGGGGAGATATATCATGAAAAACGGCAAATTACGCTAAAACCCATCATAAGGTAAAAAAAATGTTTCTTACTTATTTTTTTCTTTCAAAAAGTTCATATTTACATACATTATAGATATCGTGATCGCTAAATCAGCTAGTCAAATGCTTAGCTTGGGCTGCCTGTGAATTTAGTAATTATACTGTTCCACGTTCTCACTTTAAGCACTGTTTAATAAAGATGAAGAATATAGAGTCGGACTATTAGTTAGTGTCAAACATTGAATCTATTATTTTCCTTTGTTCTTTACTGGTTTTTCATGGTTGATATAAATCACTTATCACATTTTTTTGAACTTYAAATCCTGTTTTTGAAATCCACTGAACACTTGCAAGGCAGCACTAAATAACTTTAAGCTAGGGATTAAAATACAATAAGTGTGTAATAATATTAATATAATAATAGTAATAAACCAATACTATAAATACATTAAAATATATTAGACAGAATTAAAATCTAAAAATCTAAAAATTAATCAATATTTGCTAGATTAACGTTTAAATCAAAATCCAATAAAAAGTCACTGTTCTGATAAAAAGAGATCCGTGAACCTCGTAAGCACAAATAGAGGATATTACATGGGCGCGAGGAGATACGGATTTTATCTTCGAGTGTTGAAAAGATCTCTCACGAGTGAGCGTAGCGAATTCGTATAATTGTATACGAAAGCAAATTATGTCGTAAAATAGCTTTTTTCTTACTTTCACTATATAGAGAAACCTCGAATGTGTTATTTTCACTAGTGAAGATATCAAGTTTACGAAATGGAGAAATATAGGTATTTCATAGATAATTATATGATAAATGTACATATCTGATCATCTGGAACGCCGATAACTTCGTCCTTAGATAAGTTATTGTATCGGCAGATATATCTTTAGTTTTCTTAGATGGCTTTTCTGCTAGTTACTTTAGAAACATTTGGCACTTAGTGCCCATACGTATRGCTGTTCGTTCCAAAAAGAGGGGTGTGAAAGTTTCCATCCCTACATCCATGATCCTCTGTTGATATTTACGTTTCTTTTCTTGCTCCTGTTCTTTGAAAATCGTGKTGATGGTCTTATTTTGGTTGCTCTTGGAGTTCACATGCAATAGAGGTAAGTAAAAGAATGTTGCTACTCCTCGTTGACAGAAACCTCCTGCTTTGATGTCGAGACGCTCATAAGCTTGGGTTCGGCTTGAACATTGTGACACACCTTGCCTAATGAAGTAGTCAGGAAATTACGTATGTTATCATGTCTCTCTGTTAAAAATCCTCCTTTCTTACAAGACAAGGCATGTTTAACATCAAAAGGCCAGCCATATAGACAGACGTTTGGTAAGTCGTGTAAAGGAAGGTTGTAGCGTATACGAAGGGAATCCCTAAACTCTTGTTTGTTTAAAGCCAGTCCCGGTGGTATAGCATTCAGCCAAGCACTCGATCCTTTATCTCTTGCCTGGATGGCTTGAATCAGATCATGTGGTAGAGATCCATCTATCTTCTCCCGTTTTTTCTGAGTTCTCTGCATTCACCGATGTGTCACTGTTGGCATTGCCATTGTTATTGGCATTGCCATTGCCATTGGCATTGGCATTGGCAATTTCATTCTCATTGCTATTGCTATTTCTACTGCTGTTGTTGCTGCTGCTGCTGCTGTTCTTGTTGTTGTTGTTGTTGTTGTTGTTGTTGTTGTTGTTGTTGTTGTTGTTTCTTCTTCGAAAAGATCGCAATGATTGAAGAGCAGCATTTCGCATGTCTGGTATTCTCCAGAAATAAATGATTGGATTGATACTGCTGTTCATAAAGAGAATGGATCGAACCACAATCGAAATCTCCAATTTCGACATAAAGGCTTGAATAATCCAAGTAACAATGGTAGGGGAATAACACAGGAAAAATGTTCCCAGTACATAATACATAATATTCACAGACCTCTTAATGTTCACTGCTGCACCAGGCTGTGCGTTCATTGCCTGCAGTTGGACTTGAATTTGTTCTGCATGTTGACGGATAACACAAGATAGTTTCAGCATCAGAGCAATGTTAAATAACAAAAATAACAGAGATAAAATATTTTCAATATGCACAATAACGACAGTCACTTTTACCAAGAGAAGCCAGAGGCATGTCCACAGCACACTGAATGTCCAAATCATTATTACCACCATTGATATGCGCTTCTTGGTGACAAGGTCTTGGTATCTTAGATGTAAGTGAAGAGCAAGGAATCGGTCGACAGTAATGCCAGTTATTGTCAAAATTGATGCATTAAATAATATATTGAAAGCTGGTAGCAATACTACTTCATAAACAGTTTGATATAAATTCGTGTCGTTAGTCATATCAGCAAAAAGAAATGTACAGTAAGCAGGCTGCACCAAAGCACCAACACCAAAGTCAGTGATAGCGAGACAAAGAATAAGAATGTTCGAAGGTGTTCGCAAAGATGGCGTCTTGACAAAAGTAACGATGACCAAGAGGTTCAAAACAATTGCCAAGACAGCACTAAAAGCGTTGATGACAATCAACGACACAAACAAGGGACCATCCACCACCGATAATGGTTGTTCTATCGTGGAGTTGTTCATCTCTATATTCAATGTTATTGATCGATTTCAATTTACGAGTTAGGTCTTCCTATAAAGCTACCTCTTCGACAGCTGCTGAAAACGAGTTTGTTGCAATTAGATCTATTGTCTTGCTAAGTGTGTTCAAGACATCAGTGTCTGTTTTTTTATCTGTGAGACGGCCAAATCAACAAAGTGCGTGTTCTTTTGTGCACCAGTATTGCTGTAAACAAGTTCTTTTCTCTTCAGATGTAAGCATTTAACTATGAACAAAATGGCATAAGTGCTGTTGAACAAGATATTTTGACGTCGACATAGCAAATCGATTTTGACAGGTGGTTCATACCAAATTTTGGATTTCTTTGAAATTTAACTTTTTATAATAAATTTACCTTTAAATAAATTTACCTTGCGCTGTACAGTGATCAAATTGATGGATAAACAATCCAAGGATGCACTTTGGTCATAAATAAGCGAAAATTATAAAATAAATGCTACGTTGCCATGACAACATATGATTTTAAGTCTTTTAAAATGTCATTTTTTTACGTTTGCAGGAGCTCCTGACGTTTGTCATTTATTTTGCTTTTTTGTTGCTGTTGCTGTTTTTTTTTCTTTTTCTTTTTTTTTTTTTTGACATATAACTGATATGGATGGTTATCTCATCTTATTTATGTTTATCATTTTTGCGTTCCTTTTGAGATTCACTTAATTTTAGTGTCCAAAATTGTGAAATATAAAAATCCAA